GTGGAGTCGGTTCCGACTCATAGCGACCCTGTACAGGGTTTCCAAGGCTGTAAATCTTTACGGGAGCAGAAAGCCTCATCTTTCTCCCGCGGAACAGCTGATAGTTTTGAACTGCTGACCACTACGCTACCACATATATGACTACTGTGAAGTTGGCCTACGCGTGGACAACACTGTGTTCTATTATACACAGAGTCTCTGGGAGTAGGACAGGACTCCTCAGCACCTAACATTATCAGTACTGCTGTTTCAGGGATTTTAGTTCCGGAACATATTGACTGAACATTTTATTTAAACATGGTTCTAAAACTTTGTGTACTTTCCCAAGAAAGCTGTTGATCTTGGCTGTCAACAATTTCAACTCCTCAAGGAGAACTAATGCTTTTTGATAAAGACAACGTATAAACTCTTACATAAAGACAACTGGCTTTCAGATCACATTTATTTATTTATTTATTTTGCAAACACATCCGTTCTTGCTTCATACAAAAAATAATTGTGAATTTTGCATCAGCACTGTTGTCATTGTTGTATACTGTTAAGTCAGTTATGACTCATTGTGACCCTGTATAGGGTTTCCAAGGAGCAGCTGGTGAGTTTGATTTACAGAACTTGCAGTTCAAACTAACCTTAAGGTCGAGTGCTTATCCTATGGTGCCATACCAGGACTAGTGTATTAACACTATTGACACAGAAATAGTAATTTTCATACATTTATAAAACTTAAAGTTTGTGGCAGTAGCCACAAATCCACTGCAGCTAAGTCAGTTCCTACTCAGCGACCCTAAAGGACAGACAAGATGGCTTCTTAGGGTTTGTGAGACTGTAAATCTTTACGGAAGCAGACAGCCTTAAGCGGCTGGTGGGTTTGAGCCATCGACCTTGAGGTTAACAGTCCACTGTTTAGCGTACTGTGCCACCAGGATTCCTTTTGCAGCATCCAGGAAACTCCTTATTGCATGTTACTAAGTCCTGTTGTACACGATCACTATGAACTGGAACCAACTTCACAGAATTTAACAACTAACAAGTGGGGTTATTTTATTTGCCTTTGTTTTGTGAAGGAAATAAAGAATGAATTAATAAGGAAAATACTTACGTATATAATTATTAAACTTAATATTTAGAATCTATTCATTTAATTGTATTGTTAAGTGCCATCAAGTCAATTCTTACTTAGTGATCCTGTATAGGGTTTTCATGGAGTGACTGGTGGGTTTGAGCCACTGACCTTTTGGTTAGGACTTCTCAAATATTTTAGAATAAAGTTTTATAAATTCTTTGAAATTTTTCTTGATCTCAGTATTTTAGACTTGGGAAGTGCTATGTGGGTAGGCTGCTGACACCTGGTGGTAAACAGCAGTAATTACACATGGTGAAATGATAAACTATCTTTTACAGTGCTTTGACAAAAGTAGTCAGTTTCTGAGCTCCAACCTATCTTAAGAAGCCCTGATTGCACTAGAGGAAAAGCACTGAGCGGTTAATCACAAGGTCGACAGTTCAAACCCACCAGTCACTCTGAGGCAGAAACATGAGGTTTTCTGTTCCCGTAAAGAAAACCTTTCAGCTGCTCCTGTAAGTCAAAACCACTGGATGGTACTTAACAACAACAACAAAGAAAACCCTGTATAGAGTTACTATGAGTCATAATCGACTCAATGTCAGTGTTTTTTTTTGTCTTTGTGACTCAACTCAGTTGCATTACAACCCGTATTTGTATTACTCTTTTCTTAAAAAAATATTTTTTTTATTGTGAACTGAGTGATAGTTTACATGGGACAACATTGGCTTTAAACCATTGTTTCATTGCAATCATTACAATATCCTTCGTGCATCATCATTCAACAGTATTTGCTTCCATTCCTTCTGTTTTTCTTTTATTGGGGGGTAGGAGGGTGGGGAGATGAACACAAACACACTCGGGAATATCTAATAATTTAAACAACCAAAAGGCACATGCTGCAAGCCTGCCTCCTGGCTGACAGCACTCAGCCCCTCTCTTTCCATGAGTCTGGAGTCTTCAGCCTTTTTCCCTCTCCATGTCCTCATCTCTGTCTCCATCTCTGGTGTCGCTGCTTCTCTGGCTGGATAGGGTTTCACATTCTGATTGTGCTCTTCTCCCTTAATGGTCCTAGGGTCCTTTGTTTCTGGACTGTAAGATTAACTACTCTCCCGGTTTTGTTACAGAACTTCTACCTTTACAGTTGTGACAGGTGCAGTTAGTCATTGTACTACTCCTTTGATCAACCTCTCTATCTTCCTACACTTTACCCCTGGAAAAGTCATTGCTTGAACAAATTCTTTCATAGCACTTGCTATGCTCAAAATACAATGCAGTGTCTCATCTTGCTAACCCTCAGTTTCCTTATTCCTAAAATGGAGATTGAATTATAACAGCTTTATGCAGGGCTTACCCACTGTCCCTGGGATTTTCTGAGTGTTCCAAAATGGCAGTGTATGTTATTTCATGTCTCACTTTGACCATGATCTCTGAAGGCAAGAACAATGTCTTTTATTCATATTGGATTTCTGAGTGCAGAGACCATTTATGGGTGGCTGTTGGATTTCATCACTGCCTCCGCCCCAAACATTAGATCAAACATTTACTTCCCTATCACCATTTAGTGATAAGCCTCTTTAGGATTTTTAGGAGCTGGTGGTGCTGTAGGGTGGCAGTTCAAACCCACCAGCAACCCCTTAGGAGAAAGGTGAGACTTTCTGCTCCTGTAAACATTCACAGTCTTGGAAACCCTGTACAGGGTCACTATGAGTCTAATTCACTCCATGGCATTGTGTGTTTATTTGTCAAGATCTTTAAATAAAGTGTACTTTATAAAATATAAACTCAATCATAATAATATCTTTTCAATATTTGAGTCTTTTGTCTTAAAACTATTACTAACAGACAACTAAACATCTCCACAGGTCTTCCGGAGTGTGTTAAAACAGAGAAGATAACATAGGATTTTTCTTCTACCATGAAAATATTACCTGAAGGACAATTGAGGCTCTGTGTGGTTCAGCCAGTACATCTCTCATCGTGGCTGTTTATATTTTTTATTTTGAAGTCTATTACCTCTCTAAAACCTGCCCGGCTTCCCATTTATCAAAGGAAACCATTTATAGCTGCTTGGAATGCCCCAATAGATCGATGCTTAATCAAATACAACATAAAACTCAATTTGAAAATGTTTCAAGTGGTTGGAAGCCCACTGGCCAAGTCCAGGGGGCAAAATGTCACTATATTTTATGTTAACAGATTGGGATATTATCCCTGGTATACTCCACAAGGGGTCCCCATTAATGGGGGTCTCCCCCAGAACATAAGTTTGAAAGTCCATCTGGAAAAAGCTGATCAAGACATTAATTACTATATCCCTGCTGAAGATTTCAGTGGGCTTGTTGTGATAGATTGGGAGTACTGGAGACCACAGTGGGCCCGAAACTGGAACACAAAAGATGTCTACAGACAGAAGTCAAGAAAGCTTATTTCAGAAATGCGAGAGAATATATCAACCACTGATATTGAAATTTTAGCCAAAGCAAATTTTGAGGAAAGTGCAAAAGCTTTCATGAAGGAAACCATCAAACTGGGGATCAAGAGGCGACCCAAAGGCCTTTGGGGCTATTATTTATATCCTGATTGCCACAATTACAATGTTGGTGACCCTGACTACACAGGATCATGTCCAGAAGAGGAAGTGCTGAGGAACAACGAACTCTCTTGGCTCTGGAATAACAGTGGTGCTTTGTATCCTTCCATTGGGGTCAGGAAATCCCTCGGGGACAGTGAAAACATTCTGCGCTTCTCACAGTTCCGGGTGCAGGAATCCATGCGGGTTTCCACCATGACATCGCACGATTACGCCCTGCCTGTGTTTGTCTACACCAGGCTGGGATACAGAGATGAACCTTTAGTTTTCCTTTCTAAGGTAAGAACTCTGCCTGATGGTGGGGGTTTTCCACTCGATCCCCAGAGCGATAGTCCTTCACCATTTATGCTCTTTGAAGAATTTCCAATTAATAATCTGTTATTTTGTTGTTTTGTTAGGTGCCATCGAGTCGGTACCAACTCATAGTGACCTTATGCACAGCAAAATGAAACATTGCCCAATCCTGGGCCATTGATGCTGCCACTTGGCCAGTCCATCTCACTAGGGTTCTTCCTCTTTTTCTCTGATCCTCCACCTTACCAAACATGATCTCCTTCTCCAGAGACTGGTCCTTCCTGACAATATGTCCAAAGTATGAGAGATGAAGTCAGGCCATCTTGGCCTCCAAGGAGCACTCTAGTTGCACTTCTTCCAATACAGATCTGTTGATTCTTTTGGCAGCCCATGACACTTTTAATATTTTCCTCTAACACCATAATTCAAATTCATCAATTCTTCTTCCTTATTCACTGTCCAACTTTCGGATGGATATGAAGTTATTGAAAATACCATGGTTTGGGTCAGATGCACCTTAGTCTTCAAGATGATATCTTTGCTCTTCAACACTTCAAAACGTTCTTGTGCAGCAGATTTGCCTAATGCAATATGTTGTTTGATTTCTTGACTGCTGCTTCCATGAGTGTTGATAGCTGATCCAAGAAGAATGAAGTCCTTGACAACTTCAATCTTTTCTCCGTTGATAAGAATGTTGTTTATTGGTCCAGGGGTGAGGATATCTGTTTCCTTTACGTTGAGCTGCAAGCCATACCGAAGGCTGTGCGTTTTGATCTTCATCAGTAAATATTTTAAGTCCCCTTCACTTTCAGCAAGCAAGGTTGTATCATCTGTTATGTTGTTATTGTCAGGTGCCATCGAGTCTGTTATATGGGGACAAAAATCCACCTGGCTTCTTCATTTATGCAATCTGAACCAATTGTTTTATGTATTATTATTCCTTTAAGGAAGCAAGTAAAGAGGGAATGAGTTAAAGTATGGAACTGACAACCACTACATTTCTTACTCCCCAATTTGGATCACGCTCCTAGGAAACTGACCTCTTTAGAACTTGACGAAACCATGGGCAGTGGACCTCAGTTAGAAGGTCAGAGAGCATGTTTGGAGCTGGAGTAGTTTGCATTTGCTTCCTTCTATGGAGGTGGGATTGAAGACAGCTCTGCTTCTTGTCTCACCATATCAAATGCCAATTTCTAAATAAAAACAAATAAAATATTTTGTTTCTAATGCATAATAACACCTGTGTGTTCCATCTGGCGAGGTCTATGTGTATAGTCACACTCCTCAGTACGGTCCTGCAACCACTTGTATGTGTGGATATACAGCACACAACAAATGTCAACCCCCCCCCCCCATTTGACTGTGTTAGTCTATAAAATAGTGGGGAAAGAATTATTCTACTTACTTAGCCCTGATTGTGCAGTGGGTCAATAATTGGCTGCTAACCCAAAGATTAACAGTTCAAACCCACCAGCAGCTCAGCAAGAGAGAAAAACCAGCTTAGCAGACTGATCTGGTTCTGTAAATATTACAGCCTAGGAGTCTTTACCTAGCAGAATTATATAAACATTTAAAGCACCACAGAAATTGATGTGCTTTGGCTGTCCCTTTGGGAAAGGGTATCAAAGCTTTGTAAAAAGAAAAACTGGTGATCCAGTGGATAAGTGCCTGACTGAGAGTCAAAGACTGGTGGTTGGAACCCACCAGGAACGTGTGGCAGCCTAATGGGGCAGTAGGATTTCATGGCAGTAGGGTTTATCAGAGTCTTACACTTAAGTCAGGAGCTCTGGTAGTGTAGTGGTTATGAGTCAGGCTACTAATCTCACAGTCAGCAGTTCAAAACTGCCAGCAGTTTTGAGGGAGAAAGATGAGGCTTTCTGCTCCCGTAAAGACTTACAGCCTCAGAAACCTTATAACATTGTCACTATGAGTCAGACTTGACTCCATGGCACATAACCACAAATCACCAGCACACTTAAATATCTAGGAATGAACTCTCAGTCAGCAATCGTAGCTTGTGGAGTGAGTAACACTTGGGAAGCAGTAATGGAAGATGCTTACATTTGTTGAACCATGAGCCTAGAGCTGAGTGCATTTGAACTGAAGCTTGTAGCAGAATGGTGTGCCTTTGGACATTCATCAATAGCCCTAAGGGAGCTTTGTGGCATTGCTGGAGCAGAGCAGAGACCCACGGGGCTGTGGATGAGAGGCCAAGGACCAGAGAGTGACCTGGCTGGGGGATGGTTTAGGAGCAGCTGTCCTGATTGGAAGAACTGGGCCATTCAGTGGGCAGGGCTTCAGGGGGTATGGTTACCACTGAACTGTATGGGCACAGTTGCTGTCTCCCATTAGGTGTGGCAAGAAGAAAACACACACAGAGAAGAGAAACAAATAGAGCAAAAATGAAAATAATAAAGGAGAAAAAACCCTCAGCAGGCAGCAGCAAGAAAAAAAGACTATAATAACTAAAAGCAGACAAAAAATGAAAAGGAAAATAAAGCAGCGGAAAGGAAAAATAAGAGCAAATAAAAAGAAAGGAAAAAACATTAAAAATAAAACTCAGAAGAGGGAAGAAGAAAAGAGAAATAGATAATAGTAAAGAAAAATCAAGAGAAAAAAAACAAAATCAAAAGAAAAGAAAAGAAAAAGGAAGAAAGAGAAAGAAAGGATAAAAAATACATGGAAAGGAAAGAAAAACGAGAAAAACCTCAACTACAACAAACTCTTCTCCCCACACTCCCCCTCAAAACAAAACCAAACCACAAAGGATAAAACTAGGGCAGGGGCTGAATGCAGAGAGGAGAAAACTGTAGGGGCAGAGGGTACTCCATATGGGGTGGCACCCTCTGCCAGACAAGGAGCTCATGAGATAGAAAGGGGGGGGTGCGGGGTGGCACACCTGGGCACTAGATGGACTTCCTGAAGGCCTGGGTGGTATCTATCATCAGGGCACCTAACCTAGAAGTAATTTGTGACTGAGATTAGGCTCTTTGTTCCCAGAAGGAACTCTTTCAGACTCAGAGGACACCTGGGGGCAGGAAGGCTGGTTATGAGAGTTCCTCACTGTCTGCTGAGAGATGGAGTTCATGAGCCCTCAGTATCAGGGGTGGTAGACTTGGCACCCAACTCACAGTGGTGTGGCTCCTACCTCTGGCAGAGCAGAGACTGTGTAGGGGGTGGGTGAGATTTGGGGGTGGGGGTGGGCTGACAGTGCTTTTGGTCCTCAGGAGCATGTGGAACAAAAGAGAATTGCACCTTTCTGGTGGCAGCCACTGGTGTGTCTTTGTATTGTCAGACCATGTTCTGGATCCAATGCTGCTCACAAAGGTTCAAGATGGCTGTACCAAGTCAGGCCAGCAGACTGTTAACTCACCTGTTTCCTCTCCTGCTGCCCCTTTGAGCTACTTCTTCTAGTCAGCATTCGATACACTTTATCTTTTCATCTGCAGCCCAGGATTCCAGGATTATCTATATCTGTTTTATTTGGTGTCTTGCATCTTTGTTGTAGAGGGTCTGTGTAGTGTGTCTGCCTAGTCTGCCATCTTGCCGGAAGTCCTCTACAATTACGAAACTGAAGTTCCTCATGTTGAAACCTAGTTTTCATTGATCTTAACCTTTTATGCTGATGGAAATCCCAGTGGCCTTATCATGACTGGATGAGTCATAAGCAAAAATCATTGAAGCAGATCCTTTGAAATTAAATACAAACAGTGTCTCGGACTATTTGTACCCAGAGAAACAGGCTGGATCAGGTTAGAACTGTAGGCCCTTAAACACTGTTCTCCTTTGCCTGGGCGTAGCATCCCAACAACACACCAATCTGAATTACTGAAGAGGCAAAGTTCCACAGATAATGTGACCAGTGAAGAGAACTTGGCTAAGAGGCATGGGAGACATTTTGAGAAGGAAAACATTTGCATTCTGTTTCTGGGTCAGATCTCATACAAATCACTGATATTTATGTGTTGTTGTTATTGTTGTTAAGTGCTATCCAGTCGATTCTGACCCATAGCGACCCTGTATCGGGTTTCCGAGGAGCATTTGGTGAGCTTGAACCACCAGTCTTGCAGTTCAAACGGCTTTGCAATCTGGTGCATTAGCCCACAGGGCCACACCAGGACTCTGATATTTATGTGTACATACCCACAAATCAAATTCAATTCAGCTAACTTTTGATGATGATTTACAGGCTGATTGGTTTCAAAACAGTATCCTACTTTCCAAACTGTACATTTTTCTTTAAAATTATTAAACTGGTTTTTACATATGATTATAGATTATGATTTTTGAGCCTTGACTTATTAAAGATTTGTGTTATTACTTGGAGAAAGTGGAAAACAGTTTCTGTATGGAGTATATGAGCTCTGCCCCAATCCTTTTATTTTGAATGCAGTCACTATTTCCTGGTGGGTTTTGTATTCAAATGGATGATGAGCGCTATTCTCTTGTATCTAGCAAGACCTCATCAGCACCATAGGTGAAAGCGCTGCCTTGGGAGCTGCGGGCTTTGTGATTTGGGGAGACATGAATTTAACTTCATCTGAGGTAAGTCAGTAGCTTGAAGCTTTATTTCACATTTTTTTCTGTTTTCCTGTAGTGCTTACTCTTATTGGAGCTCTCATAGCCTCAATAATAAACCAGTTTTACAATGAAAATCCAGATCGGTACTTGGATCATAGAAGGAGTTCAATAAATATTTATTTTGTTATGGTAACAATCAGATAACTGAATTTGTTGAATAGTTGCTATCTGGTAGGATTGTGTTAAGTGCTTTTAAGGGGGATTTCCTCACTTAGACTAGACATTTGAGAGGATTTCAGAAAGTTTGTGGAAACATCATCATCTCTTAATTCCATCTTTTCATTAACATTTTGAAGCCTCCTGCTATAATTGTATGAGATAGACAAGATAACAGAGAGACGTCCTGTAAGTTTTGTATAGAACACTCCCCCTAATTAGTACACACATGCACATAGTTGTGCCGTTTGCCAAAAGCATATAACGTTTGTGCTATTTGCATAAAAATATGGTAAATGCCTGCTGTGGTAGTTAGTTAGACTAGCTAGCAGTGAAGCTGGAATTAACCACAGGCCGTTTTACTCTGCGCACACATTTAACTATAATATACAATGAACTATATCCTATTTTAAGAAATAGAAGCAGGTGGTAACTTTTTAATCTCTGAGGAGAAATCAGGTGAAAACTAATAGTACTTACAAAAAGATTTATATGTCTCTTCATACACCTCCTATTTTATATATTATTTACTTCAAGAGCTCTTTCTAGCTTCCTCTCATTCAAATGAATCACACTTTCCCCTGTATTTCCACATGCCATTTGTTTATACTCTATGGCTTAGCACATTTTGCCTTGAATCATAATACTTATATCCTGCTTATGTTTAAATTGGATTTTTCTGAAAATTTGTAATCTGATATTCTTCTTAGAATTTCACGGACTCAATTTGTTTCTATGAAGATATAGTTTATGGAACTATTAGCATTACTGGATTCAAAAGGGGGCCTTGATAGCACAGCAGGCAAGCACTCGGCTGTAACCAAAAGGTTGTTGTTGTTGTTAAATACCATAGAGTCAGTTCCGACTCATAGTGACCCTGCACAGGGCTTCTGAGGCTGTAAATCTTTATGGGTACAGAATGCCTCATCTTTCTCCCACGGAACCACTGGTAGTTTTGAACTGCTGATCTTGAGGTTGGCAGCCCAACTCGTAACCATTAAACTACCAGAACTCCTTAACCAAAAGCTAGGCAGTTTAAACACACCAGCAGCTCCACAGCAGAAAAGACCTAGGAATCTGCTCCTGTGAAGACTGTTGTTTGTTGTTACTGCGGTTGCTAGGTGACTCATAGCGACCCTGTGCACACTAGAAGGAAATACTGCCCGGTCCTGCACCATCCTCGTAACTGTTGTCATGTTTGAGCCACTGTGTCAATCCAGCTTGTTCGGAGAGTCTGCCTCTTTTTCACTGCTGTGCTACTTGGCCAAGCATGAGGTTCTTTTCCAGGAACTGGTGTCTCCTAATAACATGTCCAAAGTATGTGAGACAAAGTTTCTCTCCATCCTGGCTTCCAAGGAGCAATCTGACCGCACCTTTTCCAAAACAGATTTGTTTGTTCTTTTGTCAGTCCATGATATTTTCAATATTTTTTAACAGCAACATATTTCAAATGCATTTATTCTCTTCCAGTCTTCCTTATTCATTGTTCAGCTTTGCATGCTTATGTTGTTGCTGTTAAGTGCTACTCATTTCCAACTCATAGTGACCATGTCCAAGGTTTCCAAGGAGTGACTGATGGGCTTGAACCACCAATCTTATGATTCACAATCCAGTGCTTATCCTACAGTCCCACCCCAGGTGTCCATGCATACATATAAGATGATTGAAAATACCATAGCTCAGGTCAGGCACACTTTAAGCCTTCAAAGTGACATCTTGGATATTTAACTCTTTAAAGAGGTCTTTTGCAGCAGATTTGCCTAATGCAATACATTGTCTGATTTTTTGACTGCTGCTTCCATGAGTGGTGATTGTGGATCCAAGTAAAATGAAATCTTTACAACTTCAATATACCCTGTGGGGTAGTTCTTCTCCGTCATACGGGGTTGCTATGATTCGAACTCCATGGCACCTAACAATCTCAGGCTTAAAGTCTTCTCTGTGTATGAGAATTAGGTAGACACTGAGAAGATTCCTGTCGTTTCATTCCAACCCATGTAGGAAACCTACAGGCTTCTGATTTTTATTTGTTTGTTTTTTTAAATTGCCTCAAGTGGATTCTGACTCAGGGCAACCCGATGTGTGCCTGAGTTGAACTGTGCACCAAGCGCTTTTCAGTGGATGGCTTTTCACAAGTAGGTTGCTAGGACTTTCTTTTAGACACCTCTGGGCGGACTCCAACTCCCAACCTTGGGGCCAGCAGCTGAATCTATTAACTGCACTATCTAGAAACTCCTGTGGCCTCTCAGAGCGCCTACTAGGCAACCCCAACCACAAATGACCTGGCCAGTCTTCTAGGTGCTCCTGTATTCCAATTCTATACAAAATCCACAAGGCTTCAAATGGATGATTTGTCAAGAAATCAGTGAAAACTCAGGATCTGACATCTCCATGAAAGGCATCACATGCCTGAAAGGTAGCTGGAGGACAGCAGATAACAGCCCTGTTCTTGCATCCTTTCTACTTTGGGGTTCTTCCTCTCGCACACATTAAGGAGTGAACTCAAATCATTACAAAAGGTATATAGTGGAAGAGGGCAAAGCTTCACATGCTGAATTGGGAACCTTTGATTCGTAAGGAGTGGCTGAGCCAGAATGTGGCACATTCTCCAAGTCCGGTTCTCAGACCTCCGGGTCTTGCTGACCTAGAGTCCCTGTGTTACCGCTTCCAGGCGCCTACACCTTCGGTAAGTATTACCAGCGTAAACCAAGTCTAAGGAGCCCATTGTGGGCCTAGACGCTGTAACCCTATGTGTTTCTACGTTTTCAGGGCAACTGTACGAAGGTGAAGCAGTTTGTGAGCTGTGACCTTGGGCGCTACATCCTCAATGTGACCACCGCAGCTGAGCTGTGCAGCCGGCACCTCTGCAGAAACAATGGCAGGTGCACCCGGAAGTGGTGGCAGGCTCCCCATTACCTTCACCTGAACCCTGCAAGCTACCACATCGAGGCCTCCGAGTTCGGAGACATTACTGTAGCAGGAAAAGCATCCGATAGAGACCTGGAGGTGATGGCGGAGAGATTTTCCTGTCATTGTTACCAGGGCTATGAAGGGGCTGACTGCCGGGAAAGAACGGCGGATGATGGTTGTGCCGGGGTCCCACCTGTCTCTAACTCATTAATGATATCTTATCTGCTGGTTTTGGCGTGTTATTGGAACATTCAGCTGTGAGATAACTGAGTTTGGAGTAAATAGTGTCGCCTCTAGAGTAGTTACTTAGGGAAGAGGTGAAAATCGTGAGGTTTTTTTTTTTTTTTTTCCTCTTATGACATCCATCAAGAGGCATTATATGTAGACATCCAATATGCTATTGGAAAGAAACAAACATGTTACTTCATTCACCTCCAATTCGACTGGGAAGCCAGATCCAGAAGTAAAACCAATTTGTTCCTTTTTCTTACTGGAATGCTTACATTTATATCTAACTTAAACTCAGATTTATTGCCATCTTTTCTACTCTGACTCCACTGAGAACAAATAAAATGAAACGTGGCCTGGTCCTGTACTTTATTCATACTCCTTGGTATACTCACATCCATTGTGTATTTCCATAATTAGCACAATGTTCTGTGGGATCTGTTGGGCTCTCCTAGACTGATCTTCAGAAGCAGATGGTCAAGCCTTTCTTCCTTGTCTTAGCCTAGAAGCTCCACTGAAATCTGTCCACCAGGAGTTACCTACTGGTATTTGGAATATGGGGGACATAGCTCCTACAATGCAAAGGAGTCCTGGTGTGGCGCTGTGGGTTAATGTGCCAGACTGAAAAGCCGTTTGAACTGCAAGGTCAGTGGTTCAAGCTCACCAGCTGCTCCCCGGAAACCCTGTACAGGATCACTGTGGGTCGGAACCGACTCGACAGGACTTAACAACAATTACATTACAGGCAATCCCGAAATTACAAATATCCAATTTACAGACAACTTGTGTTTGTTCTTTAATGTTATGTAAATTTGGCCTCATTTTGAAAAAAGTGAACCAATCCCTAAGTGTAATAAATATTTTACCACAATCATCATCATCTGAGGCATATGGAGTTTTTTAAATCATTAAAAAGATTTTGTGTTTTCATATAAATAAGAACTATATGTATCAGTTCTGACTTACTCTCCAGATTCAACTTAAAGATACCCTTAGGAATAGAATCTGGGCCTCATTTGTAAACCAGAGACTACCTCTGTTAGTTTACTAAACTAACAGATAGGCAGTGACTATATAAACTAGAGATACTTTATTGCAGTCCTTATATTGGTGTGGTACTGTAGGATAAGCACTGGACTTCTAATTGCAAGGTTGTTGGTTCAAACCTCACTGCTGCTTCTTGGAAAACCTATATAGGGTTTGAGTCCTGAGTTACAGCACTTAACCTCAACAACATATGAGTGTACATACATAGAATTATACATGTTGTTATTGTTACACACCTTTGAGTCAGTTCCAACAGTGACCTTTTATAGGGACTCCAAGAGCAGCTGGTGGATTTGAACCACCAACCTTGTGGTTAGAGTCCAGTGCTTATCCACACCCCAGAATTATACATATAAATATTAAAAGTTATTAATTCTAAAGATTAATTTTCCAGCTAGAAGCTTGTTTAAGGATAGATTAATAAGTAATTCCCTAACTCAACAGAAGGGTTGAGAAATGACAGAGGGCCAATTGAGGAATTCCTGTTTTAACCTCAAGTTTAAGCCAGACCTCAGCTCCTAACTCAACCAGGCTCACAAAGTATAGAATGGTTTCCCAATGTAACTTCTCAAGAGGGGGCATGGACAGAGTTGAGGGTTGCTGTTCCCAACTACCTGCTAAGGCATCGATTCCAATATGGAGCAATGAGCCTGCTACTCTGAAACGTCTGAAGGCCTTACGGTAATGTGCATGCTTATCTGGATTGACATCTCTAGATAGGGCAGAAGCTGGGACAATGATTAATAAAAATGCCTTGGTGTCCTTTGTAAGCCAAATTATTCATTAATAAAGACTATTTCCTGGATGACATTTAAGGAACCCCAGTGTGCTTCTGGGCAGGAGTCTGCCTATCAAGAAATATTTGCTATTTGACCCCCATATTATTAGTGTTAAATAGTGACTTGAGAGTCAATACAATTTGAACATGCTTAACAGCCCACCTGATTGCATAATCCTGGGTATGTTACTAGGCATTTTCTAGCCTGAACAATTGGTAATATAATTCCCCCATCAGTAAATTATAAGGAGACCGGGTGGTGCTGTAAGATAAGCAATGGATTGTAGCTCTTCAAGCCCACCAGCTGCTCTGCACAAGAAAGATGAGGTTTTCTGCTCCCATAAAGATTTACAGCTTTGGAAACCCTATACAATCAGCTTGAAAAGTAAACTCAAGAGAGGTGTGATGCTGTTGTAGATGGAATGATAGCTGATACAGGGTCACTATGAGTCAGAATCAACTGGATGTCGTTAGTTTTTGGGTCAGTGTTGTGAAGAGTAAATTATATCCCTGATTTTTAATATATGTTGCGGATCCTTGCCCATCTTCTCTTGCTCACCAAAATAAAGGAAAAGCTGAGGATGAAAACTTAAGTCTTGAGCAATTGATCTCCTTCTGATGCAATGCCCCACTTATTTTGCATTGTGTTGGTCTCTTGAGAGGTTTGTGCAATTGACAGGATGTCCTTCCCTTGGAGACAATCAGCTTGAACAGTAAAATCAAGAGAGGTGTGATGCTATTGTAGATGGAATGATAATTGATTTATCCTTCTCTTCACCTCTTTGTATCTTTCCATTAGGTGTGCTCTGTGCTTCAACTCTGGGCCCTTGTTTGTCAGGTGACCCATATGTTCAAAGGTAACTGACATTGTTAATTTCTAAATGTAAAAAGCAAACAAAAATGTTTATAATCACATGAGTGAGTGTTGTAAAAGGAAATCTGTAGGAGACCGCAATCACTGAGGTGTTGAGGCCCTGTGTCATGGACGAAAATCCTACATGATAGCTCCACTCAGGCTTGCTAGCCAGGGACCCTGAAGGCCCAAGGAAGTAACCTCCGGACATCCCGGGTTCATTGGCTTTTACGAACTCACTGGTTGGCTACCTCTGTACAAGTCCTAATATTGCTTCTAACTCCAGTAATTGTAGCTTCTGAGAAAATGGTTTTTAATGTCTCCACTGTGTTGGCAGTGCGTAGGGTCCTGGGAAC